GGATGAATATCACTTAAAAAACAAATTTGGTGGCCAGCTTTTGATTACTGTTGGGAGAGACCCAAATGATCAATACCTTCCTTTGGCTTTTGCTGTGGTGGAGACTAAGACAAAGGATACTTAGAGATGGTTTTTGAATTTGCTCTTAGAAGATATTGGCTCTATTGACGATAACAAGTGGGTCTTTATGAGTGACCACCAAAAGGTAAGTGTCCATTTTCAGTTTTTGGGAACCGTGTTGAGATGTTGGTTCATTTTTTTTTAATATTTTTGCTGAGTTTTTGGTTGATTTTTTACAGGGCTTGATGCAAGTGTTTGAAGAATTTTTTGTTCTTGTTGAGCATAGATTCTGTTTGAGGCACTAATACAACAATTTCAAAAAGAAGTTTGGAGAAGGACTACAACTAAGAGATCTTATGATGGGTGCTGCCAAAGCAACATATGAACAGCTTTGGAAGGCTTACGTGCAGTAGATCAGAGATTTGAATGACACTAGCAACTGGTGGCTATTTAATATGGACAGGAAAGCATGGTGTAAGCATAAATTTTCAAATTATCCAAAATGTGATATACTAATGAATAATCTTAGTAAAGCATTTAATAGCACAATTCTGATTGCAAGGGATAAACCAATCATAAGGTTGTATTTGATGAATAGGTTTTCTAACCTTAGGGAGATAGCTAGTGCACACAGGGGTCGAATTATGCTTAAGTCTTTAAAACGACTGGATAAGGAGGTTGAAAAGTTAGGGAATTTGGTAGCAAGTTGGGAGGGCATGGAGACTTTGAAGTGACCCATTTACATTCTGGTGAGAAATTTATAATAGATATCAATAGGAACTACTATAGTTGTAATTTCTGGGATCTAGTAGATATTCCATACAGGCATGTTGTGGCTGCCCTACAATTCAAAAAATTGGACTTGATGAACTATGTTGATGACCATTATTCTCGGGATACTTATGTCATGTGTTATGCACACAAGATTTCCACCACAAATGACCAGGACATGTGACCTGAAATTGAATTCGATGAGATCCTACCCCCTAAAAATAAAAAAGGTCCTAGAAGACCTAAAAAATTGAGAAGAAGGGAACCTGATGAGATTAATCCAAATCTGACAAGATTAACAAGAGATATTGGTAAACATAAGTGTAAAAGATATGGTGTACAGGGTCATAACACAAGAACATGTCCACAGCCAGCCAATCCACAACCAACACACACTCAAACAACTGAGGCAAATGTTAAAAGCTCAATACCTGCTCCACCGATAGCAGCAGATGCACAACCATCTTTACCAGTCCAGGAAAAGGTATATGTATTAGCCATATCATTTGAACACTTTAGTAAAATTGCTAATGATTTACCTTTACAGGTAAATCATTAGCAACCACAAGATCTAGTGCAAGATGTAACACCTTAATTTTAATTTTCAATAAGTAGTAATTTCACAAATTCGGAATAATAAAAGTTTTTACAAAGCATTTCAAAATGAGGGAAAGGTTACAAGTTTCACATCAAATCACTGCTACAGGACTAGTTCATTTACAATGTTTTTCAAATTAATTTCCTAAGTCCTATAGCAGTTCATCCGTCCCTTTACTGAGTCCGGTGCTGATTGTCTTGATTAGCTGAAAAATGAATGTAAGGGTAAGTACTCTACACTACCAAAAAAAAAAAGCACACAGTCAGTATAGAGTCTCACCTCCAGCACATTTCCAATATATTAAACAAATACAATCACAGGCAACATTATCATACAGCTCATGTCAATTTAACACCGATGCACTCACGGCATCAGCAACATTTCACATTCAAAATTACAATTAATAACAATCTCGTGCACACACACACTAGCCACACTCACTGTGGCACTGTGATCACAGATTTACACCATGAATGGTCGCTGGTTACCCCCGCCTTACATATACCACGAGGGCAGTCACGGGTCGCTCAGCAAAGGTAGTGGTCAGAGGTCTAGTCAGGAAGAGAGTGTGTGGCCCGTAATGCACTCGTTTCACAGTTGGTGTCACCACCACTCTCCATTCCCCAAGGTATTGCTATCATCCTCATTTTCCACACCCTAGTGTATCGTTGAAACATTCACAACACATTACAACGATGCTAACATGCCTATCCACACATATTCCATTCACGTATGCAATAGTAATGCTTACACATGGCACATAGCCCATATTGTATTCAAATACATGGCACTAGGCCTACATTCATTTCATATTACACAGCACATAGCCAATATTCATCTACATTACACGGCCCTCAGGCCCACATTTGTTCACATTATTCATTCTATCATGCAACATCTAGCATACAATTCACATTCATCTATTTCGGGTAACACACACAATGTTCACATATCAATGCACATGGCCCACATTACATTTCTCAATCAACTCATTCTCTGCATGTTTTCTACCTTCTAACCCAGCCACAACTCTATATTCAATCAATTACACATAAAAAGAGTAGGGTAGAGTCCCCGTTTACCTCGGATCGACGTCCCATACACTAAATCCACCAAGAAGTGCTCTCTCTCACGGATTTCGTCCTAAACACATGGAGAAACTCCATGAGAACCCAAGGAAACCCAGAAACAAAGAAAAGGGAATAAGAAACGGAATCTACCATTAAAACTCACCTCTAAGCATTCTCCACAAGTATTCAACCTTCAATCAAGCTCCTGAATGGCTTTGGAGGCAATATAATCAGTAGAATAAGGTTTGGAAGTGAAGGGATCAGAGGAATTTCAAAGGAGAAGGGAGAAATGAAATCTCCCTGAACCCTAACCCCTTTAAATCCCTTCTGGTCGCGACACACTTGCGACAGCGAGATTCCCTCGCTGCTGCGACACACCCTCACGCTGCTGCGAAAATCTCAGACGAAACTGCACCCTAGTTTCTGCAGAATCTCGCTTTAGCAAGACTGCACCCAGAAATACACTCCTAACTGTCGCTCTATCGCTATAGCCAATTTCAGGCCATTGACACTTGTACACACATAGATATGCACTTAGATTTATATAATTAACAACAATTAATATTACAAAAATTTGGGGCGTTACAACTCTCCCCTCCTTTAAGGAATTTCATCCCCGAAATTCAACTAACCCCGCACATAAATTACCCAAACAACTCCAGGTATAATTCTTTTATTCCACTCTCTGTTTCCCATGTGGCATCTCCCTCATCACTTGAGCTCCATATTACCTTCACCAGTGAGATGTCCTTGTCCCTCAGCTGTTTAACACGGTGATCAGCAATCCTCACCGCGTACACATCATATGATAAGTCTTCTCTTACTTGAACCGGGTCAATATTAATCACATGGGAAAGATCCGGCACATATTGCCTAAGCTGTGACACATGGAATACTGGATGTAGGTTCGAGAGATTTGGAGGCAACGTGATCCGATATGCAGCAGGACCAATTTTACTTAGCACTTCGAACGGCCCAATAAACTTAGGAGATAGTTTTCGAGAATTCAGAGCTCTCCCCACTTAGGTTATAGGTGAAACCTTCAGAAATACGTGGTCACCCACCTAAAACTCCAACAGCTTCCACCTTCTATCATAATAGCTCTTTTGCCCGTCTTGCGCAGTCTTCATTTTCTCTCTGATCATTTTGATCTGCTCACTCTGCCTTTGCATCATATCCGGCGCATACAGAGTCACCTCTCCGGTCTCATACGAACACAACGGAGTCCTGCACCTCCACCGATACAAGGCCTCAAATGGCGCCATCCCAATACTGGCATGATAATTGTTATTGTATGTGAATTTCACTAGCGGAAAACACTCTTCCCAAGTTCCCTGCTGCTCGAGCACACAAGCGCTCAACAAGTCCTCCAGGGATTGAATGGTCCGCTCAGTTTAACCATTAGTCTGTGGGTGATAAGCCGAGCTCAGTCTCAACTTAGTCCCTAACGCCCATTGCAGGCTCTCCCAAAACCTCGAGGTAAACCTCGGATCTCTATCTGACACCACACTAGTCAGCACTCCATGGAGCCTGACTATCTCCCTCACATATAATTCTGCAAGTCTTTCTAATTTATACTTCATGTTGATCGGGAGAAAGTGTGTAGCCTTGGTCAATCGATCCACTATCACCCAGATGGCATCATGGTTGTTCCTAGTCTTAGGCAACCCAGAAACAAAGTCCACGAAAATACTATCCCATTTCTACTCAGGGATCTCCAACGGCTGTAACAACCTAGGTGGACGCTGGTGCTCTACCTTCGCCTTCTGGCATGTTAGACATTTAGCCACATATTCGGCCACATCTCTCTTCATTCTATTCCACTAAAAACTCTTTCAGAGGTTCTGATACATTTTAGTTGCACCGGGGTGAAAACTCATCCTGCTTATATGTGCTTCCTCAAGCACCATCTGTTGTCTCAGCTCATCCACTTGAGGAATGCACACTCGGTTCCAGAACTTAACCACCCCATTCTCATCATGGTGGAACTCCAAGTCCTTTCCCTCATCCTTCTGTCTCATCATGTCCTACAGGAAGACATCTCCTTGTTGAGCATCTCGGACGTACACCAAAAAGCCGTTATGAATCGTCGTCGCTTCGAGATATAAGCTCCCCGATCTCACTTCCATGACTAAGTTCAAGTCTCAAAATTCCTCAATCAACTCCATCTCTTTCACCATCATTGCTACCACGTGCAATGATTTCCGGCTCAGAGCATCAGCCACCACATTTGCCTTGCCAAGGTGGTAAGACAATGTAAAATCATAGTCCGTGAGGAATTTCATCCACCTCCTCTGCCGCATATTTAGTTCCTTTTGGTCAAATAGATACTTCAAACTTTTGTCGTTGCTGAACACGTCGAACCTTGCCCCATATAGGTAATGCCTCCATACCTTAAGGGAAAAAACCACCGCGGCTAACTCCAGATCGTGAGTTGGATAGTTGACTTCATGTGGGCGCAACTGTCTTGTGACATAAGCAACCACTCGCCCGTCCTGCATCTAAACACACCTAAGTCCATGCCCGGACGCATCACAATACACATCAAATTTCCGCTCCAGGTTGGGCAGCACTAACACCGGCGTCGAAGTCAGCCTTATCTTCAGCTCCAAGAAAATAGCTTTACACCCCTTGGTCCACTTGAACTCCTTTCCCTTGTAGTTCAGCTTCGTTAAGGGCAACGCTATCTTAGAGAATCCCTCAATGAATTTCCTATAATAGCCCGCCAATCCGAGGAAACTGCGTACCTCTGTCACATTCGTCGGCCTCGGCCATTCAGCCACTGCTTTCACTTTTACAAGGTCTACCATGATTCCTTCCTTCAACAATACATGTCCCAAAAATTGGATCTCTGACAACCAGAACTCACACTTAGAGAATTTCGCATACAGTTGTCTCTCCCTCAGAATTTGTAGAACAGTCCTCAAGTGCTCGACATATTCTTCCTAAGTCTTTGAATAGACGAGGATGTCGTCAATAAACACTACCACAAACTTATCCAAAAACTTGTGGAAGATTCTGTTCATGTAGTCCATAAACACCGCAGGCGCATTGGTCACCCCAAATGGCATCACCAAATACTCATAGTGACCATACCGCGTCCTGAACGCCGTTTTGGGTACATTTGCATCCTTTACTTTGATCTGATGATACCCCGACCTCAGGTCAATCTTTGAGAACATTGCTGCTCCCCTTAATTGATCCATCAAATCATCAATCCTTGGAAGCGGATACTTGTTCTTGACCGTTACCTTGTTCAACTGCAGGTAATCCATACACAACCTCATGCTTCCATCCTTTTTCTTCACCAACAGCACTGGTGCTCCCCATGGTGACACACTCGGTCTCATAAAACATTTCTGCAACAACTCTTCTACTTGCTTCTTGACCTCTGGCAACTCCATTGTGACATCCTGTAAGGTGCCACAGAAGTTGGGCTTGCTCCCGTAATGAGGTCGATAGCAAACTCTATCTCCTTCTCAGGCGGTAGCTCAGAAATGTACTCGGGGAAAACCTCCAAGAAATCCCTCACCACCGGAATATACTTCAGCTCCACCATGCTTTCGACCTCCATCGAAAACTTTACCATAAAGGCCTTGGCATTCGTCGTGTTCTCCCACGCACCTTGACTCATAAGCCTTGGAACCTCTGTCATTGTCGCACCGAAGATCAAAGTTTTCTCCTTACAATCCAGCAGCACATGGTTGGTAGGAAGCCAATTCATTCCCAGAATTACATCCAGTTGAGAAAGAGATAAACAAATTAAGTCTACCTCAAACTCCCTACCGTGTACCATCATTACGTACCCCAGACACACCCATGACGTCACAACTGGCTTACTCGTAGGAGTAGTCACCACAACATTATATGGCAATTCTGTCACATACAAATTTAGACCCTTCACACAGTCCATAGATATAAAGGAGTGCGTAGCACCCGAATCAAACAGCACATCAAGTAATTGACCCTTAATAATGCATTTATCTCGGATCAGCTCTTCTGACTGTGAAGCCTCTACCCCGCTCATAGCAAAGATTCTGCCAAGAATGCTCGACTTCTGCCCCGTACTTCCTCTTGATTTCGGCCTCTGAGCTGCACTTGCACTACCACTTCTCTTAGCGGCCCAGCACTCATTGGCAATGTGTCCTGACTTCCCACAGTTGTTGCAAGCTATCCTCGGCTGTGGGCAGTCCTTCACCATGTGTGGCCTTCCACACCTGAAGCATTTAAGCGGCCCTCTGAAAGAACTTGATCTTGAACCACTCCTACTACTCTTCTCTTGAGATGAACTTTCTCGAGACTGAGTGCTATTTGATCCTGAGTACGGTCCCCTTGAAAACCTAGTGGATCTTCTATCTTGCCTCACTGGGCTGACTCCCCTAGTGTCCACCATCTTCCTTCTTGAGTTAGCTTCAAAAATTCTGCTCTTACTCACCAGGATGGGCAAATCTGTCAGCTGAAACACACTGACTGCAGCTCAGATGTCTGGTCTCAATCCATGCTCAAACTGAGCACACAGATCCTCCTCTTCATCACCATGCTGATAATGAGGCCAGTACTTCATCAGCTCTTGGAACTTAGCTGCATACTCCCCCACGGTCATGTTTCCTTACTTCAGGTCAAGGAACTCCCTAGCTTTCTGTTTCCTCAGATCTTAGGGAAAGTAGTTCCCTAGAAAGATGGTCTTGAATGCTTCCCACTGGATATAGATGTCTTCCTGTGGCAGGGTTTGACCGGCAAACTTCCACCAGTCCTCAGCATCCCCACACAGCAAGTAGGCGGTATAGGCAACCTTGTTCTCCTCTTGGCACCCCTATTGCATTGAAGATCTTCTCCATATCAGCCACCCACCTTTGGGCTTCTTCAGGATTAAATCTACCCTCAAACCTTGGAGGATCATGCCTAGTGAAGGTAGATAACCCTTGATACTCAACCGGCTTTCCGCCTTGATTATGCACCATGGCTTCCAGAATCTGAGCCATGCGTTCCAAAAGGTCATTGGTGCCTCTAGCTCCTCTACCTCTACCATACATATTCAATCTAGCTACAACAAGTCAGCAATCATATTTCAACGCATTAAATTTATACATTATAATTTAGGCAAACAAAACAATCGACACTTATCTTGGACGCTTCAGCCCGATACTCTAGTCTAGTTTGGATGAACTGCTCTGATACCAAAATTATAATACCTTAATTTTAATGTCAATAAGTAGTAATTTCACAAATTCAGAATAATAAAAGTTTTTACAAAGCATTTCAAAATTAGGGAAGGGTTACAAGTTTCACATCAAATCAATGCTATAGGACTAGTTCATTTACAGTGTTTTTCAAATTAATTTCCTAAGTCCTATAGCAGTTCATCCGTCCCTTCACTGAGTCTGGTGCTGATCATCTTGATTACCTGAAAAATGAATGTAAGGGTGAGTACTCTACTTGAAAAAGTAGTGACACGCCCTTACGCTACAGCAAAAATCTCAGATGAAACTGCACCCTGGTTTCTGCAGAATCTTGCTACAACGATACCTTCTCACTACAGCAAGACTACACTCAGAAATGCACTCTAAACTGTCACTACAGTAAAACGTCTCTCGCTACAGCGAGAAGGCGACAGTTTTGGTCCTTCCTCCCAAGGCCCTCTAGCTGCAACGAGGACAGCCTAGAATTACACTCTGCACTTAGCCACTCAGGCCATTTTTAGCCCAACCAGTTCAAACCCATCAATTATACATCTACACATACACACAGAAGAACACCATCATTATGCAATCAATGCGAATTCACAACATTCATTTACACTTGTACACACACATATATATGCATTTAGATTTATATAATTAACAATAATTAATATTACAAAAATTCAGGGCGTTACACAAGAGCACAAGGAACATCTACTGCTGCAAATTTGAATGAAGCTATTGCTGCAGATTTGAATGAAGGACCTACTCCACCACCTTTATCAACTCCACCACGTCAACTAACCAGATCTAAATGAAATGACTGTGTTTTTTGGGAACCATTTTGGGAGGAAGAATAGTCTTTATGTTATATTGTATTGGGAGTAATGTAACTTTATTTTAAACAATGTGCAACAACTTACTTTAAGTTAGTATTCATGTGAATAGGAACCCTTTTATGGCCCACTTTTTGTGCCTTCTATGTACATTAAACAATGTACAACATGCCCACTTTTTGGGACCACTGTTCTGTATGTTGATATCTTATTTTAACACATTTTCTAATCTGTCACTCATTACAAAAATAGGGTATCATTGTCCAAATTTGGAAATTTAAGGTATTAATATGAAAAATCATATAAATGGAGGTAGTAATACAAATATATTGAATTATGGAGGTAGTTAAACAAAAATGGTTATGTACTGTGATGCAACATTCAATTTATGGATTGTGAATAAGTAATCATGAAAAATTCATTCCACACTTGCTTTTATAATGTAATTCATGAATGATAATTGAGATTTTTGAGTTATTCATTGAGAGAATTTATTATTAAGTCCATTTTGTTCGTATTTCAGGAAAGAAAAGGATAAAGAAGTGAAAACTTTAAAGGATAGTGGGAATTGAAGCAAAAATCAGAACCAGAGATATACATGGGCAAATACATAGCCGTGTATCTGAGCGTGTAACTCATTGGTTGCATCAATCAAGCACAAAATCAGAACCAGAGATATACATGGGCAAGTACACACCCGTGTACATGGGTGTGTATCTAGCTAGTCGCATCAATTGAAGTACATCATCCAAACCAGAGATGTACACGGTCAAAGTACATGGTCGTGTACATGAGCATATACTTCCCAGAAAAGTTGTGAACAATAATTTTTAGAGACCAGAGATGTACACAGCTAAAGTACATGACTATGTACATGGGGCGTGTACTTTTAACTTAGTCAAAATTAAACTTCTGCGACAAGATAAGCCATAGGACTACTAATATAAAAGAAAACTAGGCACAGAAACCTAGGGGACGCTGTTTTTGGGAGAGAAAGAGTTAGTGGCGGCTGGAGAAAGGAATCAAGCTCTTTAATTTCTTTTTTTTTTTATAATTGTAGTTTCAACATGTTTAGGTTTTACTTGCTGCTAGAATCAATTTTAAATTATATTAATGTATGTAATTACTTGCACAGCAATGAGGCTTATTAATGAATGTAATTACTTGCTACTGGAATCAATTTTAAATTATATTCATTTACCAATGTGCAGGATATTTAAACCTTATGTCATTGAACCAAATTTAACAGGCTAAACAAAATAAAAAAGCCAAAATCAATAGACTGAACAGAATAAAAAACACAGTGAACAAAGTCACAAGCATAAATCTTATGTCATTGAATTCATTTAACCATATTCAAAACAACTATTGCTCCATTGAATTACAAATTGTCAACATTTAAAACTTTCCCACCAATAACATTCATTGCTACTACAATGCTCACAATGGTAATGAAAAACTAAAGCACAATCACTAAACATCCTTAAATCTTCACCCTATTCCTCTCAACAGTAATCTTTTTCTTTTTGTGGGATATTTTAAGCTTCATTGATGCAAGTTGTTGATGGAGATCATCACATTCTTGCTGAAGTCTCACCATCTCTTCTTAGATTTTTGCCATTTTCTCCTCAGTTGCTTTTTCAACCTCCATTAAATCACCAATCTTTGCCTTTAACTCTTGAATTGTATGGATTTCTTTTGACATAACAGACTCATTGTCCCATCTACAGGCTCGTTAACCCAACAAAAATAATTTCAAGAATTAGGTTCCTGCAAACCAAATACAAACAAATTTGTAAATACAATCGCACATAATCACAAATTTAAAACAAATATGCAGCAAGTTGAACTTACATTCCAACCAGAGCATCTTAAAAACCTTTTACCAGGATTAACTTTGCTCTGTGAGGTCAAACTTATCGTCGGCTTTTTACATTTGCAAGTTACACCATGTTCAAAAGATAAGCACGATGAACCATCCATATTACTCATTTCGTGAAGACAAAGAATCAAAACGGAACCCCAGATGGATAATGGCAACACACGATAAAGAACCCTAACTTTTCTTTTCCTTTTCTGCTTCTTCTTCCTTTTGAGTTCATCTTCAGCGTTTTCGTTCAGTGCTTCTTCTTCAATTACAATTTTAGATTTGGCCCTCTTTCCCTCACATCAGCCAAAATGCCAATGCAACTTTTAGGTTAAAATTTGAAAATGCTGATGTGAAATCTGATGTGGTGGTTTAGGGTGAGGTGGATGAGAGAGATCGACAGTGACGTGGCAAACTGTTAGTCACTTCACCGATTAACTAACAGAGGTTAACGTTAGGTATAAATTTGAAAAAAAAATTAGTTAGGCATAAAAATGAAAAAAAAAATTATGAGGTTGTTTTTTGAATTTAACCTTATTTGGCGGTAGTTAAAACATATTTAAAGCTAAATCAAATATGTAGTTTAAAAGTAATAAATACGAATATGCAATTTTATTATAAATATTCAAAGTGTTGAATTATTTTTTTTATAACTCATTTAGATATAAACCTTATGACCTTTGTAGACACATATCTATTTAGATGGTTTGATAGTCTATTTATGAAGAGGTTTAATGTTTGTTAAATGTCTCAATGCAAAGTAGATTATTAAAAAGGCTAATAAATCAAATTAGGCTTTTTAAAAAAGATAGACTATACTTGATAAAAGTCTGTGACAAATAATAGGTCAGACTCATATTTTAAAATTATTAAATAAGTCAGACCTACTTATGAAAAGTCTAACATAACCTAACCTATATTCATCCCTAAAGATAATAGCGATGATAGGGGGTGGTTCATGGTGATTGAAGAGGGATGGAGTATATGTGCAGGGAAGAAGACGTCGTGGATGAAAACAACCCAAAAAAGAGATGAAAGACATCATTTCATATGTCATTTCATATGATAAATCATCACTTTGTTATTTAATTTTAACATTTTTTTTAACAAAGTGGACTAAAGTGATTGATGATTGTTAATTTTTAAGACTAAAGTTTAAAAACAATCATCGTCATTTTTTCAATATAGAAAAGTAATTTTTAAAATTGGCTCTTGTAAGCCTGAAATAGAAAAGTGTTGTTATGTCTCTTTAAATGAAAATTGAGTATAATTGATTTTAATAAAATTAATTTTAAATTTTTGAACGTGATTGCGATGTGTGCATAAATTAATTTGAGCAACATAATTTTATTGGAACATATGCTTTTCATTAAAAGTGTAATTTTGTAACTTCAACGTAGTCAAGTAGAATCTCAGTTTTGCAAGTAATGTATAACTTTGAACTATATATTCGGATAGTGATTAGAAAAGACAACCAAATATACTTTAAAACTAGTGTAAATATGATTGCGCTATATATATGTAGGCATGTATGTACTCATGTCTTTACCTGAGGCCTTCTCCACCAACTTCTCAAATCATTGATCCCTTCTTGAACAAACACATGAGTTATGTTGAATTAATATTTAAAAATTAATAGTTTCTGATAGTATTTATTATATTGTATAACTTGTCTTAATAATAATTTTTAGTATAACATGTTAAACAACTGCCCCTTATATAATACGATCAATAAAAAATGAGCTCTTGTATATATTTTATGTTTTGGCTTGAAGCTGCATCTTGTTAATTTAAGTGTCAATGCTTTGACATCAAAATAATAATTTATAGAAATATACATGAATGAATTTCATAAAGGATTGATAAAAATTTCTAGGCTAGTTTTTATTTAGAGAGATATAGATATAGTAGAATTTAGTAATTTCATAAAATAATGATCTACTGATATAGTTTTTATAATAGATTTTGTTTTAATATATTTATCAAATAATACTTAAATGTGTTTGTTCTAATTTTTATCTTATGTTTGTTTTAATACATAGGAACTATAAATTATATTATGGATTCTATGAATAAGACTGTGAATATAGATGATGAAGTTGTTTCTGAAACTCCTCCTGTATTATCTGGAAGTGTCAAGACACCTAAAAAACATTTTTCAAATGTTTGAAAATATTTTACTTAAATTGGTGTAGATAAGAATGGAGTTGAAAGAGCTGTGTGCAAATAGTATGACCATGATTATGCTATTAAAAAAAAATTCAAAAAATATTATTATAGAACTTCACATTTAAGTCGACATGTTTCAGTTTGTAAAAACATTCAAAGTTCAAGTGTAAATGTAATTCCTACTCAAGATGTAAATTTTTGTGCAAGAAAGATTAACCAAAAGACTCAACGTAACATTCTTACACAAGCCATAATCAAACATGATCTTTTTTTCAACTTTGCAGAGTATGATATGATCAAAGAGTTGATCAATTATGTGAATCCTAATGTTGTAATGCCTTCTAGGAATACTGTTGTGTCAAATGTTCAAAAAATTTACATGAGAGAGAAGGAAAAACTCAAAGAAGTCATGTGTAATATTTCTAACAGAGTATGTCTCACTTCTGATGTTTGGACAACAACTACGAGTGAGAGTTATATTTGCTTATGTGTTTATTTTGTTGATGAGAATTGAAGATTAGTAAGTAAGATTCTTAATTTTTGTGGAATGAAACCACCTCACACTAGAGTTGAATTAGAAACCACTTTATTTGATTGTTTGAAGCAATGGGGAATTGATAAAAAAAAATTTCTATAACCTTAGATAATGCTTCTGCCTACGATAATATACAAGATATTTTGAAAAATCATCTTCGTGTGCATAATAGTTTATTGTGTGATGGAGAATTTTTTTCATTTGCATTGTTCTACTCATATTCTCAATTTGATTGTACAATAGAATCTAAAAGTAGCTAATGAAACACTCTTTAAAATTAGAGAGAGTGTTAAGTATGTAAGAGGATTCGATAAAAGGATAGTTAAATTTCAAGATTGTGTGTAAGATGCTGGAATAGACACAATAATTGGTTTAAGATTAGATGTTTCTACTAGGTGAAATTTGACATACTTAATGCTTGAGAGTGCAATCAATTATGAAAAAGCTTTTGATATTCTTCAGGTAGTTGATAGGAATTATAAATGCTATAAGTTGTTCTCAAGCTTCCAATGAATCCAATTTGTTGTCAAAGTCACATGGAGATGAAAATAGGTCAAAGAAATCAAAATTGTTCAACGTATGTTCTTTTATGTCATTTTAATTATGGTGCGTTTCTTATTTTTATTTTGTTTAAAGGGTTATTATGTTATATTTTGCACGAGTTTAAAATGATTCAAAATGAAACTAAGTCTACCATTGGTAAGAGTGAATTGGATTTGTATTTGGATGAGTCACAAGTTAATTTTGATGATACTGAAGAATTTGATGTGCTTCATTATTGGAAGAATAATGAAAAGAGATTTTCAACACTCTCTATAGTAGCACGAGATGTACTTAGTATTCCAATTACTACAATAGTATTAGAATATACTTTTAGCATTGGTGGACGTGTTCTCACTAATATAAACGCTTTACACTTCCAGAAAATGTACAAATGTTAATTTGTACTAGGAATTGGTTGCATGGCTTTGTTGAAAGTCCAAGTGGTATATTTATTGTAATCACCTTTTATGATTTTTATATAATTTGTACAAACATAATTCTATTTTTATTGCTTTTGAGTTTTATATAATGATGAGATAGAAATACTAGAGTCTAATATGCAACAAGATGTTGAAGAGTAACAAGCAAGTGAAAAATAAATCTATTAAGAATTAATATGTTGAGTTTTCTTTTCTACTAGTTACTTTATCATCTTATTTTTGTTTTTTTAAGAGAAAAAGTGACAGAGGTGAATTGACACTTGACAATTTTAATATGTTCAACATTGTTCTACAATTGATAATGATAAGTCTTGGAGTGGCACATTAACTTTGTAAATTTTGTTGTTTTCTGCTTTTTATCTTAGCTAAAATGACAAAGGAGTCATTGAAATTAATTTTGTTTGCACTTGGATTAATTTTCTTTTATTATAGATAATTTTATGTAAATTTAGATTGTTTATAGAAATCATGTTACTACACTAATGTTTAATTACTTATGAGATATTTTGTTGTATTTTGCATGTTTAATTGTTTATAAAAATTTTCAGAGTTATTTCTTAAGAAAGTGTAGATATTATTTTGACATGATTGATAGCTAGAAATAAAATTAAAATTAAGTTAAAATTTTTTAATTATTAAAATTTTTAGCTCTTGAAGCATTGATCCTAATACTAGTCCTGTGAACTTTTGGCCCATAAAACTTTTGATTTATTGAACATTTTAGCTCACAAGACTTTTTGGTCTTAAGTCATATAAACTAGAGTTAAGATTGGGTCAATTAAACTTTTTGATACCTCTACAAACATATAAAATTAAGTTCAAGAATTTAATATATTTGTATTTGATAAAATTTAAACTTGAAATTATATGTTAAGTTGAAATAATTTTATTAATTAATTTACATGTTTGGTATTATTATGAATAATTATATTTTATATACTTCTTTCGCATTTTAGATGTCATTTTATATTAATATACATTTTTTAAAATAATTAATTTTATTGTATTATAAAAAATAAATTAATGGAGCTAAAGTATTATTATTAGAATTATTATATTACTTAGTTGATAAAAATCTGTAACAAATAAAAATATTACTAGAAAATTTAATATTTTAAAGCGATTAATACAAAGGAAAAAAAATACTAAAATGACGTATAATATGCTTATATATATATATATATATATATATATATATATATATATATATAACGATGATGTATTACTATTCTCAATAAGGAAGGCGATAATGGGGGTGAAGTTGCTCGTTTGGTTACGCGAGTGTGATCACAGCAGTTAAGTGGCAGAAATTTGGGCGCCTTAAAAGTGAGTAAGCTCCATTCTCTGTTGTGTTGTCAGAATGCAAGTTGTATTGTATGAGGCTAATAGCTTCATCTTCTTAACTTTCTATCCATTTTTCGTTTTTAATTTTGTGGATAATTCTTGCCCCCAATTTGATGAGACCCAATGAATCGTTCACGTGTTTCTGTATTTCATCTTCACGCAGTATTCCGCTTGACAAGCACGCCATGTGTTTGCCAAAATGTGCTAATGATAATAATAATAATTGCTTTTAAAATTCTGATAGATTCTGATTTGAAATTGTATTCAGGCAAATTTTCAACCCCTAAATATATACTGTTTTAACCTTAGCCGCATCACGGGGGGTTCTATTTCGTAATTGATATATGAAAATAACATAAAATCATGAAGATATACGCATATTGTGCATCAATGCTTGCCTAATTAAGCTTTCCATTTTGCTTCATTTATTCTCTGAAATGGCCATTTAGGAAGAGGCTCCATGGATCTGCAGGATTTCCTTCTCCGTGCTCGAGTCTTGAAGCTTTTCAGGCAAGCATTGAGAATTGCTGGCCGAGCCCCTTCTTCTTCTAGAGGTCAATATTCTTGTTTCCCTTATTCTTTAATCTATAATCAACTTAACAATGATTCTTGATGATATATTTCTGAGCCGATAATTGAAGCTGCCAAATAAATATAAATGTGGACCATTAAGAATGTTTGTTCAACTTTTTGCACCAAAAATTGTGTGAACCATTAGGGTATGTTTGATTTCTCTTTTAAAAAGAGTTTTTTTATTTTTTTTTCTAAATGTAGTATAAATTTATACTATATTTAGAAATAAAAATAAAAAATTCTTTTTAAAAGAGAAATCAAATATATTCTAAGAATGTTAATTCAACTTTTTCCTGTTCATTCATACTTACATACTTGAATATAAGTTTTATGATATTGTTTGAGATGTAATGGACTGTACAGCTGAACTGAGACAGACAATTAGACAAGAGATGGAAAATAATAGAAATTGCAATGACAAGCGAAGGATCCGATACTTGATTAGTGAGGGATTGGATAGACTGAAACGACTGGATGAAATGCTTGATATGCAAGGTCACCATTGATCGAGTGAATATATATCGGTATGTAATAAAATATCTTCCCTTTACAGAAGAGTAAACAGTCAAATTCATTCATGAATTTTATGTATGGATAATATAAGTCCTTGAATAATGGAAATTACGCTTAAGATTCCTGAATGTGTAATTTTTGGTCAAATTAGTCTCCACGCCCATGCATCTTGGGGATTTATTTCCATAACAGAAATACACATTTGGGAACTAGTCTGACAGTCAAATACAAATTTAGGGATCGCAACTGTAATCTTCATCTTTTAAGAATTAATACAATTGATACTGTATTTTTTAAGGATTAATTTGATTATTTAAACTTTTCGAGGATTTAAGGTATATTAACTAGCCATTTCAAGCGGTAAGGAAAAAAAAACGAAAAGAATGCCCGCAGAAATTTGTTTCCCTAGTTTTTACAATAATATCAGGTGTTCATTTTTGGTTTTCGTCCTACATTATTATTTTTCTCTATATGATGGTATTTCACATTAATCTGGCTGCATGTTCTACTTCTAACAGTTTTTACCAATGTTTCATGGTGACCTGAGTTCTCTTGGTCTGAAGAATTTTGAGTTGAAAATATGAACCACGGAATACATGAAAGCTGTACCTCTGCTAAAGCAATCACAAAGGGTAAATAGAAGGACGACTTCGGGTGCAAACTGTTTTCATTCTATTTGTTTTTGAGGTTTTGCTTTGAATGTGAATATTTGACTTCTGATTGTCTTCTACAACGCGATGTTATTTGATCCTTAGGAACAAAACGTGATTTGTACCACGTTAAATCATCAAGTTCTTCCAATATCTCTCCTCTGTTATTGCTTTGTGACAAAACTTACGCTGACAAGTTTGAAGGGAAACGAAGAAAATAGCCAATTTTTTATTTCTCAATAAGGAAAAACATTTTAGATATGAATAAGAAATTATTTGAGATTACATGATAATCTTTCATTTAATAGTCTAATGTGCCCGTGTGGGTTAGCTTTGGTTTAAAAATTAAGAGATTCAGGATAAGCTTTTGCATTGCCTAAAGTGCACGGATTTAATTTCTCCATTGGTCATTAACTCTGCTTCTGGAAAATTCATCTGATTGAGTACTTGTCCAACATAATCTAAAGCATGTTAATGGTGTTATCAAGCAATTATTGTTGTTACTTTTTATCCCAAAAAAAATATTATTGTCTTAAACAATTAATCAATAAAAGAAATGCATGGACAAAAGAAAAAATGGGCACTCAAAATAAAAATCACCATTTCCTCTGTCTTCGTCAATTCTTTCTTTTAAATATGTCGTCAAAGAATTTTATACGTAGATAACATGAAGTTATAAGTTTTTGTCTTTTTTTTTTCCTTCCAAAATAAGGTGTCAATTCCTGGTTCCAAATATATACACAAGAAATCAGAAGCATTTTTTTTTTATTTCAACGATAAAGTTTTGACAATAACAAACATACATCAAAAGAGAATAGTAGTGTTAAATGAAAGAAATGACTTCTCCAACCTCTACTAAGGGGTGGAAGACTTCAAACTTCAAATATGGAAATAATTAGAGTGATAATATAATATTGTATTTTAAAATAATGACAAGTGAAATAAAATAAAGTAATTTGGAGGTTATTTAGTTTGTAAAAGGATATATAATTCATTAAAAAGTATATTTTCCCGACTAATTTTCCTCTCTTATCTATTTAGGCTGAAATCAGATATAATTATTGAGAGTGACATATTTTTTTCTAAAATTATTTATATTTTTGGTTATTTTGATGGATCTGGATTCAGTGCAGTCTACGTGGAAACAGCACTGTGCATTTAGACAAAATTTTATATTTTTGCTTAAACAAAAATGTGTTGGCATCAACAAAAATACAAAATAACATAACTGCAAGGCGTAGGCGTAGTTACTGCACTAAATTTAAATTCTATTTTGATCTATGTGATTTTATTTTTGTTCGTATTTTTAAGTTAACCAAATTCTTATACTTTTAAATTTGATTCCTCCATTCATATTAATTTTTGTTAAAATATTTATGAAATTTATGATAATTTTAACAATGAAATAGTTTTAAAGTAAAAAAAGAAAAAGAAATTGGAGAAGTTTTGACAAAATTTGAAGGATGTGTTACAACGCGTGAGATTAGAGTCTGAAGAAGTTTTTTTAAAATATATTTTGACTAAAATTTAATGTCCAAATTGGTGCACTTTGAAGAATTTTTTTTAAAAATAATTAATAGATTCAATTTATTAAAATTTTAAGTAAAATAAAATAAGAATTTGAGTATTTTCAAAAGACAAAACAATCAACAAATGCATTAAACTAATGCAATTTTAAAAGTAGAAAAACTTAATTTATTCTTTTAAGAAAGGAACATATATTAAACTAAAGGGATTAAAATATAATAAATATATATTTTTGTCAAATTTTAATATAGCTGCATTTTTAGAAGTTAAACTTAATATACTAATTAAATTAAATAATTTGGTTCACCAATTTATACCTTAGTGATAATTTTGATTTAATATATAAGAATAGATAATTTAGTTTAGATATTCTTGTTAAATGGATATCATTAACACAAACTCTGCATGCTGTTAAAAAAGAGAGAAGTAACCGATTTTGTTTTAAATTTCACTTTTCAAATTTATTTTATCTATATTTATCAAAATATTTCATCATTTGAAATTCTAAGCACTTATAAAAGGAACTCTATGATTTTCATAACTTTACACTTCAAAGTCAGATACATTTAGAAGAAGAGTTTTGTTTACCTTTTAAATGGCTTCTCTTCACACGCAGTTGACGTCTTTGGAGGATTTGATGCCATTGCATTCATGGAAAACACCACCTCTACCGCTCTCTAAACTAAAAGAAAGACAATACATGAAGCTCAAGGAACCGATTTATAACAATGGAGTCAAAGTGTATTGGCAGCCCAAAAGTGTAGAGGAAGAAACTGAAGATGCTGAATTTGAAATTCCATGTACAGAGGTTTGCAAATGTTTAGAAAAATATGTTGTCAATATTGTAAAAAGGTTGATTGATAAGTTCTGTCGCTAGTTAACCGTGTCTAATCCAATGGAACTAGTAATTCTTGAAGTCAAAGTTTTTATTTTTTCTTATTTAATTGAGTATTGAAGAAGAGTTAATAACTCTGACAATGCTGCGTTAAAACTATATATAATCTTTTGCCACTGAGGCAGATCAGGGAGACGGACGTCAAGTGATACATGTCAAAGTGATTTCGTTTCACATATCCAACTAGTTTAATAAACTCCGTTGGTTAAGTTAACCCGACAGTATCGAGAAAGAGGCAAATCAAGCGTGTAACAATTGAATATGAGAATTGTGTTTCAAAAACCAAAATGTTATTATAATAATATGTATTATAAATTTTGAATGAGTTAACTTTGAAAGGTGGACCAGGACAAGATCAAATCCAATGAAGCCCAAAGAAATTTAAGACTCGTGAGAGTCATTCAACTATATTTGAAGAATCTTCAAATAAGGAAGAAGAGCAGACGTTGTGAAGGCTGAAGGGATGATCATGTATAAAGCTGTCTCTCTCGTACGAGGAGGGTGAAGTGATATATAATTCATTAAAAAGTATAACCTCTGGACAATTTTTTTTTCTCACCTATTTAGGTTCAAATCAGATATAATTATCACGAGTGACATATTTTCTTCTAAACATTGTTTATATTTTTGGTTCTTTGATCTGTATGTGATTTTGTTTTCTTCAGTATTTTTAATGTTAACCAAGTTCTTTTACTTTTAAATTGTATCAATTTCATCCCTTCATTCATATTAATTTTTGTTAAAGTATTTGTGGAATTTATGATAATTTTATCAATGAAATAATTTTAAATGTTTAAAAGTAAAAAAAAAAAATTGAAGAAATTTTGACAAAATTTGAAGAATCAGTTACAAGGTGTAAAATTAGAGTTTGAAGAAGGTTATTTTAAAATATATTTTGATTAAAATTTAATGTCTAAATTGGTGCACTTTAAAGAATTTTTTTAAATAATTAATAGATTCAATTTATTAAAATCTTGAGTAAAATAAAATAAGAATTTGAGTATTTTTTAATGACAAAAAAATCAACAAATGCATTAAATTAATACAATTTTAAAAGTAGAAAAACTTAATATATTCTTTTAAGAAAAGAACATATATTAACCTAAAGGGATTAAAAATATAATAAATATATATTTTTATCACATTTTAATATAGCTGCATTTTTAGAAGTTAAACTTAATATACTAATTAAATTAAAATAATTCAATCCACCAATTTATACATTAGTGATAATTATAATTTAATAGATAAAAATGGATAATTTAGTTTAGATACTATGATTCCATGGATATCATATTGTTAACATTATCTTTAAGTGTTATTACGCAATCTAAACTCTAAACAACCATATCTGTATACTTGATTGTTGCAACATGACTTTGTTTTAAATTTCACTCTTCAAATTTATTTTATCTATATATATATATATATCAAAATATTCTGTTATTTGAAATTAGCACTCATGAAAGGAACTCTAAATAAATGGCTTTTTCAATGTTACAAAAGTCAGATACATTTAGAATAATTCTGACCACTATTTAAATGGCTTCTCTTCACACGCATGAACTAAAATTGACATCCTTCAAAGATTTGATTAATGCAAAAGATTTGATGCAATTGCATTCATGGAAAACATCACTGCAACTACTCTCTAAATTGAAAGAAAGATAATACATGAAGCTTAAGGAACCAATTTATAACAACGGAGTTAGAATGTATTCGCAGTTCAAAAGTGTAGAAGAAGAAACTGAAAACTCTGAATTCGAAATTTCATGCGAATAGTTAGAAAAATATTATCAATGTTGTGAAAAAGTTAATTGATAAGGTCTTTAACTGATCAAAATTAACCGAGTCTAGTTCAATAGAACTAGTAAATTGAATGATCTGCTTAATATCAATGAAATCGGTCCAACAAAACTAGTAAATTGAACGTTCTGACTGTTCAATCTAATTTTTGAGGTCAAAATTTTTATTTTTTTTATTTATATATATGGCAACAAGGTGAGTGGACGTACTGCAAGAGTATTCTAATTTTTGAAACTTTTGATAATATTTGTTGTTTTTATTTCTTTATTTTAGTTTTTAGATATTCAACTTTCTATGAAACATTTAACTACTGATTCATAATGATTGATGTCGTAATCGGGCGGTCGCAATGGTACGGTAAAAAATGTTTTCAAAAATATCAGAGGAGCCGTCACCAAAGTTTATTTTAAGAAAACTTTAGAAAATTTTTTTAAAAATAAATATGATCTCTGAAACCAAAAATGAGTTCGGGAGTCATTTACTTGTGGAGAAGGTGTTAGCACCCCATAATGTCCGTTTAAAACGGTTACTTAAAATTAATTGTACAAATTTATTTAATTTTGAAAAGTATTTATTTAACCCTAAAAAGAATGTTGCTATTTTATTTTTAAAGAAAGAATATCTATTTATTAAAAATATTAAGTTATATCTTAGAAAAGAAAAATATTTTAAAAATTATTTTGACTCGATGGATATGATTCCGCTCCTACGTATCTCCAGGTGCAATGGAGAATTTAAAGTCACGTAGTTCTATCTAAAAATTACGAAATTGGTTGGTTAAAATTAAGTTCGGTAAAAAAAAAAAGAAAATTTATTTTTTTAAAATTAAAATTAGTTTTATAAAATTATAATATTTAGAATACAAGATAACGTGATTATACATGTACCCTACGAGAAACAATATAATACGAAAGGCGAAGGAAAATCACACATTCATATTGTAAGTCGTTGTAAAAACTATGGTATTTAAAATCTAATATTTTTATTTACAAAAAAGTATTTTTAATATATAATTTAATTAAAAAAATTAATATTTGAAGAAATTTAAAATAGCGTATGCTATACATAAATATTTCATGATTTATTTGTTGATCGAAGGCAATGTAAATTCACATCTATATCGCAGAACATTTTGTTAAAATTTAGTAAAAATATTTTCTTCAAATTAGAAATATGATTTAAAATTTTTAAATATGAAATCAATTTTAAAAATATTTAAAGAGAACAAATTAATATATTTAAATTGATTAATAAAGATAGACGTTTATTTGAGGGAACTTAAAATATATTTCTAATAATTTTGTATTGTGTGAGACCAAGATAACGTTGGTATACAAATGTCTTAACAATTTAAAATGTACAAAGGTAGAGACGCTACACGATGACGTTACAAACAGCTAAATTAAATCAGTTCATTAATTAATTCCTTAATTATTTGTTGATTAAGAGTAAAAAAAATTGTTTGTTTTAAAAGAATATGTTTTAATTAATCAATTTATAAATTACTGTATCAATAAAATTATTATTATCATTAACTTAATTGACTAATTGGTCATTTGAATATTAAAATAAAATATTTGAAACGATGTAGTTTAGAAAGGTGAAATAATTAGTAAAACATTATTTAACCTAACAAATGTATATTGCATGAAATTAATGGTAACGTAAGTACACATTAACTTCAACAATTTATAATGCATAAAGATAGATAAACTACACATTAGTATTATAAATTGTCTTATTAATTTTATGTCTTTATTATGTTGTTGTTGATGAATATTTTTTAGAAGAAAATATAGTTTAATAACATGAAATAAAGAGATGATAAACATACATATTACGCAAAAATAATATAATAATTATAATAAAATTAAACATAGGTGATAAAATAAAAATAAAATGAATACTAAAAATGAGATGATGATATATAAATTTTATCTTTTTTATTATTGTCTTTACAAAATTTAAGAACACTTTAAATAATAATATTTATATAAATTATAATAACAACAAAAATATAATAACAATAAAATTAATATGACATTTTACTCTTAGCATCCTTTTTATTTTTTATTATCAGATATTATCATTGCTATTCAAATAGAATAAATAATAAATTAAATGAACTAAACTAAAAAAGTAAAAGAGCTCAATTTCTTTCATCTTTCGCTCTTTGTTTAAATATATGTATATATGCAGGGGACCAAACTAACATAAATAAATCAAACCAAATGAAAGTTGAATGTTATACGATGCTGTATCATTAATTCGTAAAAGGTACAAAGAAAGAAAAAGGCATTATCAGGACGTGATATGAATAGTATTTCATTATTATATGTCATAAGTGTAAGGCAACGAAAAAAAGAAAGACAAGCTGCAATACGTGATGGATTGAAATTGGTGACAGGTTCAAGGATAAAAATAAGAAACAATTTACCGATTTATTTGTAAGAAGAAATAGAACACCGAAAATGATAGCTAAAAAAAAACTTACTCCTTCTCCGCTACTATCTTTTGGTTTCCCTTTATTCGGATCTCTCTTCTTGTTCTTTCCCTGATACTATCCTTCCAACAAGTTTTTTAGTTTTCGAATGGTTGGCTTCTCTGATTGGTTCTTTCCCTTCTATGCTTTTCTCTTTTTTCGTTTAAAAAGATTTATCTTCTCTCTTTTTTGGGTTGCCGTTCTCCCTATTTTTCTTTTTCTAAAACGAAACTTCTCTTCTTTTTCTTCGAGTCTCCTTTTTTTGTATTCTTGCTCCGATTGCTCTGTCTATCTCCTCTCTCTTTTTTTTTTTTTAACCAATTCTCTCCTTCATTTTGTTATCTCTCTTTTCATATTTTGGTATGTTTATTTTTTACACTTGATTCACAATCCTTTCTTTTTCGTTCATACACGATATTCCTATTTTGTGCAATTTCATTTTTGATGGAATTTTTGCAGGCAGCGGGAGGCATTTTTTTTACAGGCAGCTGGAGCATGTTGCTTATTCCTCATTTTACGGAGTATCCTTTTTTTTATTATTATTTAATTGAAATAAGGGGAAAATATGTGTATTCACAATTGACTTATTAGCAAAAAGTAGTACAAAAGCCTTGTTATTTAATACGTCTTACAATATCTGAATGAACATGAATATAGAATGATAATTTCTTTAGTAGCTCTTCTCCGAGAGAGGAGTTAATAACGCTGATAACGCTAAGTTACATATCCAACTAGTTTAGTAAATTCTGCCGGTTAAGTTAACCGTCAAGTATCGAGAAAGAGGCAACTCAAACATGTAACAGTGAATATGAGAACCGTGCTTCACAGACCAAAATGTTATTATAATAATATGTATTATAAATTTTGAATGAGTTAACTTAACGGTGGACTAGGATAGCCCTATTATATAAATTGGACTCCCAAATTTCGTAAATCAACGTCTATTCTTTAAATTTTGTTTGTAATGTTTATTAATTAAAATTTAAGTTTTATATTAATAAAATGTTTGTATTTGATATTATTGTAAATACTAAAATAAATTTAATTCTTGATTAATACAAACAATAATAAATTAGGTGAATTAGTGTATTATATGACTTATAAATAAATTAATAAGATGGCCTGATATAAATATTTTAATATTTAATAAATTTATAAGTTAAAAATATCAAAATATTAAATATTAAAAATATTTTTTTAAAAATATTTTTTAAAAATAAATATCTTTTGAAAACACAAAGTAAATTTTCTCTTCATGTCAAACTTAACTCTATTTTTTAAACTCACTCTCATTTGTCTTTAGTTTTTGAACTAATTCAAATATTTTTGTTGTGCTTTCGATGACTAGGTCGATATATTTAGTAAGCAAGAGATAAAATAAAAATAGATTATCTTATCTGGAATAATATGATAAAAGTTTTGTTTTATTTCTCTTTATTATACTTCAATTTTTTTTATTCTTTATTATTGCATGTAAACATAGTTTTCAAATCTGACGATTTAGATAACTATAATGAAACTATTATATACATATCTAAATTTTTTTACTAATCAACTTGACTAAATTGAAATATAGTTAATGATTAAAGAGACGTAATTAAAATTAAAAACATAAGAAAATTATTCTTTTTAAATTTTACCTAAATTATACAATATTCACTTAAGTAAATTTATACTATGATGACTATATAAAATTTTGTTAATTTTTGTTTAAACCATTTTTTTTATTTAAGCTAAAATTACAAGATTTTTTTTTATTTGCACAATTTGCTTAAATTAAGTAAATTTTGATTAAATTTATAATATTTTTCTTAAACAAATTCATTATGACTTAAGCTATATTCATCCAATGTGCTATTTTTTTTAATTTTCATTTAATTGAAGTTAAAATGATATAAATGAATTTAGGGTTTAGGGTTTAGAGTTACATTATGTCAAACACATGTAATCAATATACAACAAAGACACATGAAATATTTAAAATGATATTAAATAATCTATTAATATAAAAATTGATTTTTGTTATAAATTGAGATGGCAAGAGTAAATATAAAAAAAATTTAATTTTAAAAATCATAAATAATATATATAAAATTTTTATTAATTTAAAAATTATTTTTTAATTATAAATTAAAAATATGTTCGTGTATGTAAAATTTTAATCCTTAAAATTATCATTTAAATACATGATCGTTGTAAAATTTGCATAACAAATATCAAAATGTGATTATCAATATAATCTTATAAAGATATAAAATATTAAGCATGAAAGTGTAAAAAGAAAATTTATATTTTTTTACAAAAAAAGAAATCATTAGTATATAAAAATTAATATTATTAAACAAAGATAAAATATCTTTAGATTAAACATGTTAATTCGTTGCTTGGCGTGAGTCTAAACAAACAGCACTTCAGAGTATTTTCGTAAATATAATTGTGAGTGAGTTAGTATTGCGATCTTTAAATTTTGAAAAAAAGTGGGCGAGGGAGAAGAAAAAATGAGGGGAAAGGTTGAAAAATGGCGATGCATATGGAATTGGAACGAACGGGGGATACGTTGTGGATGGGGATGGAGGCAGCGTGAATTGCACGAGGGCCCAGACACCGTAGAGGAGCTTCTCGATAGGCATCTCGTCAAAAACAATAAGACGAAAGACGAAGACGAGTTGGAGAATCGGAGGCGACTCACCAGCACTCGGCGAGAAGCGCTGAGTCTGTACCGAGAGATTCTTCGGGCCACGCGCTTCTTCACCTGGCCCGATTCCAGGGGCGTCCTCTGGCGCGACGTACTCAGAGACAACGCTCGAACAGAGTTCGAACAGGCCCGATTCGAGTCCGACCCGGAAATCGTGACCCGTTTGCTTATCGGTGGCCGCGAGGCCCTCCACTCCGCTATTGATAAGCTCGCCCAGAAGCACAGGCAACACATTCACAAGGATCCTTCCTCTGATCAACGCTGATTTATAATTAGGGAAATTAAATCTTCAGGTAATGCAGTTTCTTTTAATTCATACCTTTTTCCTATTCTTAATTATTTTCTAGGGATTTGTATGATGGTTGGCGAGGATGTAGCAATGTCTGGTTCCTATGCTTATTGATTTATCTTAGATCAAAAGGTTACCATTTCTTGGCATCATATAAGCACGGGATTGTTCATTAACTTACTTTTGCCTTATTTTCAAATATCTTTCAGAGTTTAAGCAGTATACTTGTTTGCGCTAAATAAGATTCATTTAGTTGAAATGCTGATTCTTGGCTCTCAGCTGCTTCTGGAGCTTGAGAACGAATGGTTCATTTAGTTATGGCAGTGATTGTAAAAATGTGAACCAGCTGATAATTTAAAGAAATGTTGTAAATTTGAAAATCTTATTTTTGCTAAACTCAGGTAAGTCACAGTCCTGAAAGAGAAGGATTAGATTAAATCAATCATTTTAGTATAGGTTGTCAGGGCAAGACCAAAAATAGCCTAGCCTCTTCATATCACTGCTGTTTTCACTCTTGGTTTGCCTCGGATCTGATTCATGGCATTCAAAAGAATGGACAAGGTTCCTCTTCCGAGTCGCCTTTGTTCATTGATAGTTTCATTGTGAAACCACCTAAAATTCATTGCCTAGCCTCACAACTTAATAACTAATTCTTTTAGTTACAAGAAAAGAAACGGAAACATAAAATATAAAATACTGTCATCTATGAAAGCAAGCCCACCCACTTTTCCTATGGTGATTCAGGTTTTGTTGTGCAGGACACTCTGTTCATGTGGGATACCCTCAAGCTGCATAATGTGCAATGTATTCTGCTGTTTGACATTGTTCTTTCTGATAGGGCTATGGCCAAACTAGTGAAAGAGCTATGTACTTTATTAGTTTATTACCTGTATGGACATGAACATATTGTTCATGATCATCTGGAGGTATTGGAAAATGTTTGCTGTCACCCCTTTGGATGTAAATACTTAGAGAGAGAAAGAGAGAAAGAGAGAGAGAGATGAAGTGACAGGAAGAGATATGATATGCTTCTAAATCAGAATTCGGAGGTATTTGAATGGGTAGTACATGTATTCTGCTGTCAATATGGCGTATGTGTTCTTTTAAAACGACGAGATAACTGTGCAGTTTACTGTTTTTCCATTTGAAATACCTAAGTATTGACTTAGAATTAGGAACATGTTTAGGACGAGGGAACCACTTCTGGGTTTTCTAGGACATATATTCTGTAGTTTAACTCTTGCAATGCTTTGAGTCTTTGACTGACTCATCAGAGTGAAAATTGACTAAAGTAGTTTTTATTTTGTGAAATTTATTTACTTATACATTTATTGGTAAATTTAGGGAAGGACCTGTTCTTCAGGCATAGAGGCATAAAGCAGTGTGTTATGGAATATCTGGCCAAGAAGCAGCTGCCACACGGATGCTAGGAACTAGGAAGTTTGTTAACAAGTTATGATAACAAATATATCGTGTATACCCAAAAAAACATTGTTATATATAAAATGAACTGTCTGGTAACGTACCATAATGTGTTTGGAATAACATTGGAAGGTTCGTTTATTTATTTATTGAGAATGCGATTATTTGGAATTCTGAAACTGCTACTATTCTTACACCGCATCGAAGGTTAATATTGTATTATATGTTAGCTTGAACCTCGAAACTTTATTTTAATACTGTAAATTGTTTATCTTGTGTGTGGCTTAGCTTATGAAGCTGCAAAATAAAATAATAAAACCAAAAGGAAAAGAAAAGGGCTACTGTCATAAAATTTTGCATTAAGTACACATGCTGACTATTGACCATTCAAGTGTGATTCAATCTCCTGTAGCAAGTTACAAGTCGACAATATTCAACATCCATTTCTCATCATCGTTGCAAACTCGTGGTAATCAATTCTCCCATCCTACAAAATGATGCGCAACCATCCTTTAATTAATAACACTGCATGGACAGGGGAGCTACGAGAATATAACGACTAAAAAAGATCGGGGGAGCGATGTATAACATACTTTGTCAGAGTCAATGCAGTGGAAGGCCTCCTCTATAGATATTTCATCACCCATTTGGTACTCTGTTATTGCTTGTCTAAGCCCATCTCTTGTTATGTAACTGATCAAATGGAAACAGAACTTTAGTTAAATAAAAATGTAATAGTTGCCAAAAACAAAAGCAAAAGCAAAAGCATTAATGTAATAATATGCGCTGCTAAAACAGACGAAGATATGATATTCGTGTATATGATCAACACCGGCTTCCCTTTTCCATTAAAGATCTGAATAACTTGTCAATAGGTGATTTTGCTTTTATGTTACTAAACTCATTACCTGACCTTGTTGTATGTGTTAGGATTAAGCACTATGCATAAGGATCAAATTGATGAACTGCATACTCACCCACTGTTATCCTTGTCAAAGTATTGAAAAGCCTTTGACAAGTTATCTTCCCTCTCCAGTTTATGCTGATCCATAGTGGCAGTAATCAATTCACAATAGTCAATAGTTCCATTCTTGTCAACGTCAGCCTGATAATACACGTGGAGGAAAAGTATGTACCTTAAACATAATCTTCTTTAATGAAGAGAGAAAGGGAGTGGATATTTATGTTCTAATTGGCGTGAGACTGAACTTACAGCATCCATTAGCTGCCTTAGTTCAGAGTCGCTAAGTTGGGAACCCAATCCGGATAGTCCAGATTTGAGTTCTTTGAATGTGATTGTGCCACTGCGATCAGTATCCATATTGTTGAACATTTGTCTCATGCCCTTCATTTCTTCCTCAGAAAGATTTTCTGCTATTACCTTCCACATTCAAAATAAGAAATAAAATATTTTGTTAGTTGAAAGACATTCAGTTACTTATATTTTATTATTTACTTTCTTATATTTTTGTCATACCAAGAAAGTGTAACACGGTTTTGTCCTAAAATTTTCACCTTCCCACTTTCCATCCACTCAACCGAACAGCTATGCTAGTTAGTTACATTTTTGAATGGATTTTGAACGTACATCTAATTCAAATTTTATGCACAACTGAAAATTTTAATGTACCTTCAAAGCAAGTTTCTTCATCTGGTTCATTGCTTTGAATTGTTTCATCCTAATTAAAACAACGCTGTCAGGAGGGTTGTTAAATGCGTCAGCACCTTCCTTCATCCATGGATGTTCTGGCTCAAAAGCATAATGTGAATGACTTTAATACTTAAAGCTGATCTGTATAAAAACCTTCATATTAAACATGAGCATTGACTTCAATTCGTTATAATTGGTTGGGTCTAAATTGCAGTTCATGTCCAAACCATGTTCATTAACTTGTATAGCTGAGAGAAAATGTTAAAAGAAAAATTGTCTTGCATGGTGCAATAAAAAGAAAAATAGAAATAAAAGAGAAAAATATAGGAAGAAGTAGTAGATGTAATGGAGAGATAAAAGAAAATTATTGTAAAAAATAATGACATGAGTAACTTAGATGTTGTCATATGTCACTTTTCTGTGAAGCCACATTGTGAGATGATCCAAAATCAACAATTTTTAAAATATATACGGACTAATTTTTTTTTATAAGACAACGATATAAATGTAATTAAAATTCTATTGTCTATCCCATACGTGGTTGGCAAAAGTTTTTAATTGTGAAATTGAGGGGTGATGACAAGAACAATCATCAGAATGCAATTGGATGAAAATGCAACAAAGAATGCCAGACATTTACCAAAGGCTTCAGAAGTTGTAATGCGTTTCTTAGGGTCATAGGTCAGCATTTTTCTGATCAAATCTTTTGCAGCATCCGAAATAGATGGCCATGGCTCACTATCCATATCTAATTTACCTCCTGAAATAGCATCAACCATGCCTAAATGTCCAACACATAAGGCCATTAAACTTTAAAAATAAAGCTTAAAAAACGTATATACATCATGAGCTAAAATATAACACGTGAAGGGAGCAAGATATTGACAATTTTAGAATGTATAAACAATCACGATTGACATTTCTCATTTGATCAAGTGAGTGAGTTTAAATAAAATCAATGGTAGCAACCGACTGCAACAATTTCTTGGACGTGCACAATTTTGCAAGCTATTCACTTACTTATTTAACCAAGGCAAACTTGCACAAGTAACTGTAGAATTTCAAATAACGATTTAAATTTCTCTGTTGTAGTGTGAATTGAAACAGAGTAGTCCATTAAACTTACCAACCCAAAATGGAGGCACCCCACTCAAGAGAATGTATAAAATTACTCCTGCATTCCAAACATCTATCTCCTTTCCATAACTCCGTTTCAAAACCTCTGGTGCCACATAATATGCATTTCCAACAATGTCTTTATATGCTTTACCTGTTGAATTGCTCATTATTTAGTCAAGTCCAATGAATATATTGACAAAGGGCTTCCAAAAAAAAATGATAGCAGCAATTTATTTGACTTTGGTCGTGCGGGAAATTGTTGTATGATTTGTTATCTAACAGAAAAGTAAGTAATGTTACACCAACAATCTACCTCCTTGGATAAACATCATGCCTTGTCTTCATCATTTGTGGGACTAATTAACAGGACACGTAATTTCATTCTTACTGAATATTATTTTATATTTTTTAACTTATAAATTATTTGTCACTTACAATTTTTAAACTTGAATGTTCTTCCAAAATTATATATACTGGTTCTCCTAAAATAATTACTTATAATAGAAAGTTAAAATCCAACAAACTTGATTGACGGCAGTATTTTGAAGTTTTTCAAAAGGAGAAGGAAAATGAGAAGCATTTAAGTTTGAATCCAAACAAAAGTACTAAAAACAGAAAATGAATCTAAATGATGATATTGCAAAATAGGCAAAGATAAAAAGAATGCAGAAAACATAGGAAAATGCAAAAGAGCATAAACGCGTGGGCACGCAACCTTCCTCAATGAAGACAGAGAAACCAAAATCGACAAGTTTCAATGTGGCATTCTCGTCCTCGGTGGCGAACAAGAAATTCTCTGGCTTGAGGTCTCGATGCATTACACCCATGAAATGGCACACATGAATCACATTCACAATTTGCCTCATTACAATTACTGCTTCACGCTCCGTGTAACGACCTTTGGCAACAATGTGGTGGAAGAGTTCGCCACCACTACACAATTCCATGACAAGGTGCACGTTCTGCCTGTCCTCACAAGCTCCCTTGAATTCCACAATGTTATGTTGCCCAGAAAGATGTTGTAGAATCATAACCTCTCTTCTAACATCCCCACTTTCTTGCATGTTTAGCAACTTCCCCCTTGGAATGGATTTGCATGCATACTCTTGTCTTGTGATCTTGTCAACACACAGATAAGTGACCCCAAAGTTGCCTCTTCCCAACTCTTTCTTCATCTCATACATTTGGTTTATGTTAACGTACGGTTTCCCAAGAAGTGGTCCTGTTTGTGAAGATTGGATGAGTTTGGGAGGAGGAAGTGAAGGTGGAAGTGGATGCCTTATCCTTGGTTGTTTGTAGGTAAGCTTAGGCGAGGAATCTGGAGAGGCAACAACAATTTCATGGTTTGGTTTCTTAGACAATCTCAATCCCATTCTCAACCTAGTTTGAGTGATTTTCTAGGATTTTGGTTAAGCAAACTAAATTTCACAATCTTTGCAATCAACACCTTTTGCACCTTCCAAGTTGTTTGCTTTCATGTCAGTATTTGGTATTTTCACTTTGTGCTTTTCTTATTTTCTTTGATGAGTGGTAAGAATATAAACTCGGAGAGATCCATATTTTTCATATATATATATATATATAGCGTGGTATCAATTTTTTATTTTAATTAAATAGATTAAAAAATAGACCTATTTTTATATAATTAGTATGCAGCAGTTCCTAAAGGCCATTTTAAAGACAAATCTTAAATTTAAAAAAATGTTCTATAACCAAGTTTATCATTAGAATACGCCAATTGGATGTAATCCACGAGCAACTACTGTTCATGTGTGCCAAACAACAAGTAAAAATGTTCTTGTAAAATATGGTTGCTTAAATTTGATTGTTTTACTCATACCTGACTAATGGTTATATGTAGCGTTTATCTAATAAAGTTGGTTAAAGAGAGCACTGACTACATTTTCTTATGATTATCCTAAAGATTTTTAGGTATGTATAAAATTATGGACTAAACTTTCGTTTTAGTAATTAAAAAATTTTGAGTCCAGTATTTTAATTCTTAAAAAGATTTAATATATCATGTTAATTTTTAACTTCTTTCTTCGTCATTCATTTTAGTCTTTAATCTTAGACTTTGTTAAGAAACAATAACAAAAAGTTGAGTTGTTAAGTTTTATATCTGAAATCTAGTTGGCATTCCACGACGTCATTTTAAGAAGTTAATGTAAAAAATCCTTTACACATGTCAAAATGGTATCTTTGCAAAATTGTGAAGTGTACTGTTTGTCCAAATATAACTACAAATTTTCTCATTTGTCTCGGAGAAGAATTCTAAATGTATATACAGAATCTCACTCAAATTCATTTTCGTAGTTGTGTTTGGCGGTGAAATATTTAGAGATTGAACTGGCTGAAATTCATGCAAGCCCAAAAAGACCCATCTTTGTAATAGAATTTTTCATTTCATTTTATTGTGTGGTGTAAATTGGTTGTTGACTTTCAATGGATAAAGGACTTTTTGTCGGTAAAATTGACAAAGCTAGTATTTTTTTTTCGGACTTTAATATTTGTTGCTTGAGGCTTAAAAGTACTTGATTTTCTGTTTGGTGGGTGTTATATGGAGTATGTTTATGGTCTATGTATGTATGAGCTTCTAATTTTATGATTCTAGAAAAATAAAAATAAAATCTCTTTTTGGTGGGCGCAGAAATTGATGTAACATTCTAATTTTTATTTGCATTTTTCTTGTTTTCAAAATGGAAGAGTTTTCTTAAATTTTTTTTTTAAACAAAAAGAATATTCCTTTTAACTCAAGCGAGAATAGATCAGATTTTCTCAATTGTATTTTCACTCAAGCGAAAATTTGTGACAAAAATGGGTAGTTTTTTGCCGTGTTTTCACTCAAGTGAAAATACTCTCGCTTAAGCAAAAACATCAGTAGAAAAGTAGCAATTTTTGTCTAGTTTTCTCGCTCATGTGAGAATTCGCGAGCCTTAAAGGGTATTTAAGAGATTTTCATTCTAAAATTTGTATTGTGAGCATAGGGAACCTCTCACCCACTTCTTCCTCTATTCTCCCACTTCCTTTCTTCTGAGAAACTTCTCCCAAACTTCAAACTACTTCCAAATCTGAGCCTGAATTTCCTTTCCTCTTAATATTGAGTAAGTTCCTTGGAGCTCAATCCTTCAATCTCATTCTATATTTCTCTGCTTTCTCCTCTCTCAAAGTGCTCTAACTTATAATATATAGGAGAAACTTGGTCTTTGGACAACATCTCCTTCGAAATGTTGCATTTCCCTCTAAATCCTGAGGAGATCTTGGTCTTAGAAACACTAGTTATCATCCCTTTGGTTATGAGAGAGCTATTTCCATGTAAAGGGAGTTAATTCCAAACCTTAACTCTTATTTATGTATTTTTATTTAAAAACTTATTTGTCTTTTATTTTGAATTATAGAACTCAAATATTTTCTTAAAATCTTAGCATTAAGAATGTAATTTTGAACATGAAAAACCTATGGTTGTTTCTAGAATTATCTAAATAAAATTTCATAATAAAAGCTCTAAATAAAATCATTTTAAGGAGTTCTATGATTTTACTATCAATCATTATGTATGTACAGTTAATATTATAAATTATTATTTAGAATAATATGTGTACTATGAATGAGGCTAAACTTTAGGATAGATGATTTTTATAAAGACCACGAGAGTGTGATCTCTAGTAATGCACTTTAAATTGTACGATTGGATTGAGTCCGAAGGTGCTCAACTTTCAACATATTGTATTGATTTGTATGATAATGTTTGTATGCTCCCTCACACACCATTACTTACACATTCATCACACACTTTGAGTAGGATCCTATACCCGAGTCTGAGTATGCTTAGGATTAGAGGGGTTATGTAGCGGTGTCATTTTGGACGCACGTCCTATTTGGCTATCGTAAAAATCCTAGCTAGGGTTTGACCTTTTTTTGATGTCCCACATCTAGTAGACTCCCTACTGTTGTGGTCAATATCAGGGATTGGATGATCTTAACTCTAGTGACCTTTTAGGATTATAAGCCATCTTTGGTGAGACTTTACATGTATAAAAAAGTTATAGGTCTTTATGTTAGACCCTTTAGGTGACCCGAAATAGGACACAAAGGGAGTTTTTTTTTTTCTTATCTACTCTTTTTGGAAGTCATTTGAATTATTAGCACCTTAAAGTTCTTAAATAAAAAAAAGAAGAAGGATTTTGCTACATTTTGGAACAATACTAAAGGCTAGTGATTCACGTGATTCTCTAAGTTAATTTTTCTTACATCATTATCATTTCATATATCATTGCATATCATTTATTTGAGTATCGTGCTTATTGTAATCCATGTAACACTAGTAATTTTAAAATTAATTTTGAGAATAAGGTTAAGGATGATAATTCGCATGATTCTTTTGTCATTCTATTTTCATATGAAACATTATCCTTCTAAGTATCAATTCAGATTTATAGAAAATAAAGAAATCATTTTTGAAAAGATCTTAAAAATGTAATGATTCATATTGTTCTTGCATCCATCATCACATATTTGTTTCATTGATATAAGTGCCTTGTGAGTTATTGGTTCGTTTAGAATTAACATTAATCCTTATTACCACTAGGACCTTGTGTCAATGAAACAGATAAAAGATTTTTCATATATTTTCTTTATATTTGTATGTTGAGGATCACAAAGTTGTTTGAATATCTAAGAAAAATAGAAATTAATGTAGGATCAAGTAGCAATGAGATGATATCATTTGAATTACGAAAAAATGTATATTTTGGTGTGGTTTATTTGTTAATGATTCCACATTAATTCTCGTTTAAAAGAAAAACTTAAAGATGTTCAACAACCGTGATGATTCTTCAAGTTTTCAATTTTCTCTTTAAACATGTTCTTCATTGTGTTAACTTCTTTTTTGATTGCATCACTCACAAAAAAATTTAAACAAATATAACGGGAAAACATTTTCTAAAGCATCCTTATAGAACTCGTGCTCAAACAAGGATCATAGATGAGTTAGAGGAGCATAATGAAGAACTGAGGAACGATGTCAATCAGCTGAAGGAACAGATGATACAGATCCTAGAGGCACTGAAATCTTTAAAGAGAAGAGCCATAGAGGGGACCTTTACTCAAGCACCTCTAGCACAACTCACTCCTACCTATCCACTTAGTTTCACCCTTACACAAGGACTGTCTCAAAGTTTTCCTCCTCATGAAACAATGGTGCCTCTAACCTTGCATGTGGAAAGGCCTCCATAACAAGCTTTCAATCAACAAGATGTCCAATTTCTCCCATATGGCCTTCCCTCTAGTTATACGCCATCGATAGCTGAGAACCCACCAAACACTAGCCAGCCACCAAATCAACCCAACCCTACACAACCTTCAGGTCCACAAATCCAACCAATCCAAACATCTATCCCATCATATGCTTATCGTCAAAATTCCCATCCTCAAGAAGCTCATATACCTCACACTATGCCTACCTCAAACCACTAATCCATCACCAACCACAAATCACTAATCCTAGCCTTGATGGAAACCCAGCTATATTATCATCCCATTTCCATAAGACCTTTGAAGAACCTCTACCCAATTATTCAAAACACTTCCAATCTAGAGAAAAATTGAAAATATTGGAAGAAAGATTGAGAGCTATTGAGGGGAGTAACTATGGCATTGGGGAAGCTGCAGATCTTTGCTTAGTCCCAGATGTGATAATTCCTCCAAAATTTAAGATACTTGAATTTGATAAGTACAAAGGAGTGAGTTGCCCAAAAAGTCATCTGATAATGTTCTGCAGAAAGGTGACATCCTATGCTCATGATGACAAGCTGCTGATTCACTTTTTCCAAGACAGTCTGATTGGGGGAGATTTGAGTTGGTATATATACCTTGAGCGTACTCGAATTCGTAGTTGGAAAGAGTTGGCTAATGCTTTCCTAAAACAATACAAGTAAAACCTTGATATAGCTCCTGAGAGGTTACAACTACAGAATATGTCAAAGAGGGAGGAGGAAACTTTCAAGAGATATGCTCAGAGATGGCGAGAAGTTGCAGCTCAAGTGGAGCCCCCTTTGTCTGAAAAAGAAATGATAATGATGTTTATTGATACTCTCCAATCACCTTTCTATGATATGATGATTAGAAGTGTTTCATCAAACTTCTCTGATGTTGTGATTATTAGAGAAAGAGTGGAAGGAGGAATGAGAAATGGAAAGATATCTCATAATTCTGTCAACCCCTGCAATATAAAGAAATTCACGAACAGTCAGAAAATGAAGAAAAAATGAGACACTAATGTTATAACTTTCCACCCAAGAAAAATCTCTTTCATTATACCTAAGTATGCACTCCCTCAGTTTCAACCTATGTGGCATACCCCTCAAATGTCTTA